TCCATTTCCTCAATATGATATGGAGTGGAACAGTCATCTGGTCCCTAGCTCCTGCTTCAGCAAGTAGGAAATGTCATGGGATGAAAAATATCTTGACAAGAGAGAAAGTAGCACCCACCTTTGGATACCTTGCAGCCTTGCCTTCCTGAGACACGTGGCTTTCAGTCCCCCCATGCTCTAACCACAACATAAAAAAAGCCTTCTTTCTTTGTGTCTTTGGAAGAAGGGCCAACAAAGATCCATCCTTGGTGAAACCTAAGAGGGTAGATATCATCTTCCAGCACTACATGCTTGTCCTTGAGGAGCTAATCCTACGTTTCCTACAGGCCGGTGCTGTCAGCTTCCAGGACAGCTTGCTCAGCTTTGTGGATCGCATCTGAGGATCTAAGTCTCCTAATACAGGAGGCTTTGGTGCTTTATTTGGATTCCCAACTTCTTCAGGGAGCCAGCTGGCTTAAATTCAGATGCTTCAACATTAGATCCAGTTTAATCTTTGAGCACAACCCCAACCTTTATATCGGTTTTAAAAATGGGCCTTCAGTTCCTAAAGAACCCTGAAAAATCTTGTCCCGTGTCAGAATTTAAAGCATCCCGCTAGGGGAGAACCCATTGCGCCCCTGCAAGTCACTTCACTGTTAAACTACCTGCACTGCTGAGAAGTGACACAGCACAGTATAGCTAGTCTAAATTTGTTTGGCTTCAGCTTTCAAAAACTGCATGGTCTCTTCTTGGTACATGGCAGGTGGCAAGGATCAGGACTAGTTGGATAATCCATGCTTCTTGCAAGAAGCCTCCTTGTTTTGTCACTAGGAAAAGATAAAATGCACAAATCAACTCACTGTCCATTTACACACCAATTACTTGATACAGAGCTACCACAAGTCCACGCGAGAGCTAATGGTGCACCGGGATGATCAACTTAAGTGTACCCAAATCCATGGTACAATGGAAGGGTGATTCCACATCCCCTCTCTGCCACATGGCCATCTTCTTTGTGCAGGCAGCAGTATTTGCACAGCCCCATCAACAGGTGGCTTAGTAAACCGAGCACATTAAAAACTAATCTGCAGTTTTGTTGTGTAGAGGAAATTTCAGGCTTCCTGGTCCAGCTGTCTGTAACTGTACTCAACACTGGCATGGAGGAAGGCACTGGCCAAGGGGCAGAAGAAGAGGGAAGGTGAAAGGTGCCTCCCAGTTGCAGCCTGACCATGAAACCCCACCCTAGGCTAATTAATTGCACAGTCAGTGCCAAAAATCTATTCCTGCCCTACTAAGTTACGGCCATTTCAAACCATATTTTTCTTCCCCAGTTGTTTGGCAAGAGCGTTATGTTCCTAGCTTTAAATACAGCTATCTAGGGACTCCCAGAGAGACATTTATTTTTATTATGTTTTTCGTTTGGACTTTATTCACAAAGGCAGCAAGGATAAGAGCTAAAAAGCTGAGATTTGAAAGAGGAAGGGGGTTTAAATCAGAAATAGCCTTTCAAGGAATTTTGGTGAAATATCAGAATCTGGAAACAAAGACTAGAATGTAGATGGAATTTCCTTGGTGTTTCAACTTTCATGTTTTAGTAGAAAAAAACACCCTGCTTGAAACAGGCCCAGGATTTTTGAGAAGCTGATGGAAGTAATGGAGTGTGACGTACATAACTGGGACAAGGAATCTACTGGAAGAAGCGAGCACAGTATCTTTAAGAAGTTGCCAAAACCTGCAGAAGGCTGATACGGGCAATTTCCTCTGAACTGAAGCTACAAGCAAATGAAATAGATGGAAGGCTGTTGAAGTCATGAAGGTGAGAGTCTTCTGAGCTGCTATATGAAATGACCAAGCAGGCAATGTTGAGAATACCAAAGTTATCAAGAGCTTGGAGTAAGCGTATGCTATACGAATGTGCAGTCACCTTTGTTAAGATGTTCATATTAAATCTTAAAACTGAAACAATTTCTCATGGAATGACTTTAATGGGAAGAGAACAAAAATCTGCCAGTTAAATTCACTCTTTACAATATAAGCAGGTACAGCTTCAAGGAAATCAAACACTGCTTTGGAAGGACACGTAGAATGCACTCAGTGTATCCCAGCCTCAGGGCAGCAATTCTCTTCAGACCAGTGACTCTCAGCATCACAGAAGTCCCACTACCTCTTCCCAAAGCAAGGAGTGACAAAAGTCTGTGGTGGCAAATGATCTTTTCCCAATGCAGAACTTGATACAGGTATCAGACTTTGACCACTTTTAGTGTTGACACCTAAGCCTGTATTGGACTTGCATCATGGTGGCTGTCTGTTGACAGTCACTATGACCAGGAGCACCTGCTGCTCTTGGTTGCCAAGTTTTATGGGACAAATTTTTACTGAGTTTCTGGACAGATGAAGGCAGCTCAGGACACTGTGCAGCCTCTGAAGGATCAGGGCCAGAGGGTGTTCTGTACACGATGTGCTCAGAACATAGGCTGAGAGAGAAGAAACAGTGGACGTGTATTTGCGATGGATGTCACAGACTCAAAAAAAAATAAACCCAAACAACTAAAAAGTAGATGTGTTACTAGAGAAGCTGTTGGAATAGAAAATTGAGGCATTCAGAGATCTGCCAGCATCAGCAAAAACTTTGCCCCAGCTGCTGAGCGTACCTACTGACGTTGGATCAGGTTCTAGAGGGGAATTTCACCAGTTGCAAGAGTTACAAGCTTGCCAGACCCCATCAATAAATGAAAACTGCAAATGAACTTTTACTGATGACCCTTTAGTTGGTTTAAAAAAACACCACCACAAAAAACCCAAACAAACAAAATCCATTTGTGCGATTTAAAAATCTATATAGTAGATAACCCCACAGTATTTTAGGTTGAAGACAGTAAAGACATGTAAATAACCTTTAAGTAGAATGCACTAGCAACTCTGAAGAGATACTGACAACTAGCCACCAGTCAGCTGGTTAACACAGGCCGCTGAGGTGTGGAAAGCGGGACTCAAGTTCTTGTTCTGTAAAACTCAGCAGGGGCACTTGAACTCCATCTTCCACCAGGACATCTCTGGTTCACTCAGTATTTTAATATTCAGAGAAATAAAGCAGTTCCAAGAGAAGGAACTGGAAGAAAAACCAGGCACTACAACAGAAAACAATAGCCAAGTGCTTTAGAAATTTATTTGGGTTGCAGGGCAGCCATGGTTTTGCACTAAAGGTGGCAACAAACTGCCTCGAGCAAATCCATCCATGAAACACTTTCAGGACATTCTGTGGTGCAGAACAGTATTTTTTCCCTGAACTCTCTAAATTTGCATTGTGTAGGAAAGTATGCTTGTTTTATACATCTATCAAGGTTCAAGTTGGACTACAAGCCTAACTTGTGAACAAGATGGATGTGCCTCTGCTGCACCCAAGGGAAAACGAATTCCTCTCCTCTGCCCCCACTCCTTCCTTGTGCTCAGGAAGGGCTCTGGGAGACAGAATATATGAAAGACTTGAAAACTGCAAACATTCAATGCCCACGTTATGTTTAAATACAGCAGATCGCTACTGTACCTGTAAAGTATAACAGCAGTTTAGATGACAGGCACTTGAAGCTACTAAGCAAAGGGGGGAAAAAAAAAAATTCCAAACATGGATTGACAGTGATGTGGCCTGGCAGAAATATCTATTTTGTTGACAAGGAACAAGAAGCTGGTGTTCTCATACATCATGCAGCAAGTGAAGTGTGCCTAAGCTAAAAGCTTATGGAATTGGCACTTTTTTCCCCTCCCTTTAAGCATCTCTCTTGCTGAAAGATAATTCCGTTAATGCCTTCATATTATGGAGTAATTTAATGAACGACCAAAGACACATTCCATAGACAAGGGGATTTTCCTAAATGTTATTCCTAAATGTTACCTATCGCTAAGGGGAAGAACAGTAGAAGACCTTCTACGAGGTCAGCTCTGAGAGACTGATCTGCAGGGCTGTATTTCTCTACCAAGATCATTAGACAACAGGCAGTCAAGAGGACCTGACACAAGAAGGAGCTTTGTCAACCATTGTAATACATCAGAAGAGGCAAATATGAACCGTACTGTGGCAGGGGAGGTACTACCAGCAGAGAGAGAGAGAGAAGAATAAACGGTAATAATGTACAGTGCAGCGGAGGGCTTCCTTAGGAAGCTCCTGAGCAATTTGACTACTGAATTCAGGCATAAGGAAACAAAACTGGAACAGATGCTGGGAAGGACTCCAAACATGATCAAAAGTCTACAAAGCTCTGATTCAAAACCAAACAGTTCAGCTTGTTTAGCCTTACAAAGGCTGAGAAGAAATCTACAGTTTTGGTCTATGCATACGGCAGAAGGCAAAGAGGAAAGAAAGGAAAAAAAAAAGATTCAACTTATCCTACAACCGCCTACGAAGAAGTGCATAAACATTAGTGTTAGTAATATATAGGTATATATCAGCAGTATGTTAGCAAGGTATGTATTAACATGGCAGCAGAGTTAAGATAGAAATCAAAAGGAGTTAATTTTCAGAGCAAAGAGATTTTCTTTTTTTAGACTCAAGTGTGCTTAGGAAAAAAAATTATGTGTGCACCTGCTCTTATAGTGTACTAAGCAGGTAAATGGTTCAGTCCTTTCCCT